CTATGGGATCAGTGCAGTAATGTCACCCATATACCCCGATAGATCGCTTACCTAGCAAGGACCTTGACAAAGCCCGAGAGAAACTACATCTAAATCGAGAAAGTGGCATTGTTCATAGTCTTGGCAGTGAAAAGATTCCACAAGATGCCATACGGCCACCGCTTCAGACTATTGACGGATCACAAACCGTTGCTGGCTATCTTCCTCTCGGAGGAGGGCATCCGTGCCTACACAGCCAACTGCCTCCAACGCTGGGTACTGACTTCACCGAGCTATAATCTTGAGATTCGCTACCAAACAACAGTTTCCACGAATCTAGCGGATGCGCTGTCACATCTCATTCGCTTTCAGCAGCATGATAAAGAAAATACGATCATAGCCTCAGTCGAGCTTGAATCCGACTTCAAATTTCTTGTGAGTGACGCATTAATCGACCTACCAGTTACCGCAGTTGTTCGCATCGAAACACTTCGTGACTCAATACTCAAGGTTATACAGTTTCACAGAATTAGTTGACCAGGTACATGTTTATCAGCCGAACTGCATCACTATTACCAGAGGAGGGATCCACTCCGTTTTGGACGTCTGCATATTATTTTCGGCGGGATATCATCCCGAAAGCCGTACAAAAGCGCGTGCTTCGGCATTGTCATACTGGACATCCTAGGATCAACCGGATGAAGGAATTTGTCTGCACCTATACGTACTGGCCTTTCATGGACAGACCGCTGGAAAAACTTGTCAAATACTGCCAAAAGTGTGCCAACGTTTTCAAGCACCACAAAAAGCGGAGCTCTATTCATGCCCAAAACTCACGAAACTATGGTGCCCTATCCAAGTCTACTTCGCAGAACCAATCAGCGGCCGATCTTTCCTCATCGTATTCGATTTCTAAAGCAATTAGACTTAAATATCTCATGGATGGCACAACAGCCAATGTTGCGGTATCATGCCTAGGCTAAATCTTCAGCATGTTCGGCTGTCGGGGACACTTGTAACTGAAAACTGCACGCAGTTCACTTTTACAGAGTTTTGCAATCAATGCGCCATCCAGTACATTCGCTCACAGCTCTTTCACCCACCATCGAATAACCACGCTGAGAGGTTCGTAAGTAGGTTCAGGCGAACATTTCTCAAGTCAAAAGCTGAGGGACGTATGGAGGAAATGCTCGGCAGACGTCTTTTCCTGTATCGCTCCACAGCAAACCCACAGGCGTCGGAATGTTTCACACAAAAGCACTGATGAACAGGAGACTCCGAATGCTATTTGACCGGCTCCCGAGCCGTCATACGGTGAAGGAAACCGAAAAATAGAGCGGGAATTCAATCGGCGACATAGTGCATAATAACGCTCATTCTGGCCCAGAAAGGCTGTGCGGAATGAACTCCAGGTATGATCGAATGCAAATGTGGAGGTGTTGTTTATTATACACCCATTGGATCGCAAACTTGGGTCCGCCTTGCAAATCAGCTACGCTCAACATTGTACCTGTCCGAAACGAAGAAGACAGCCAAGCTTTCTTCCGACTTCCTTGTGGATCATTTCAGGTTACCGAAACCATAAAGGGTGAGTCATAGTCAACCCAATGACGCATCCGATAGTCCAGAGCGAACTCCAGAGGCACTTCAACCCAGGCGATGGACAGACAGGTGGAGAACATCGTCTTTAAGACTGCCAATCAACCCAAAGTTATCATCCTACACGGCAGCTGAGATCTCAAGAGTAGCGATGTCTGGGAGCATAAAATCTCCCAGTAACTTTCATTATTTTAATATTGAAACGAGTTGGGCCAATGATGTGCGACCGAAAAGTCAAGTCGCTTCAAGAACGTTTGCGTCCAGACGATGTGCGTACCTACCCTCTCTTTAGCCAGCAGAGCTGATCTACCAATCACGTCAGCTGGTGTATCTGTTCTGAAACGTACCGTACATTACCAAATATAAACCGCTGATTTTTGGACAATTTTTCGTTTCTGCAGTGGGGGGGGGCATACGCAACTCAAAATATGTCACTTGCAAAATCCACCCAAGAATTCACTGCGAATCACTACACTTATCTCCCCTTAGCACCACGGACAGTATTCCAGACGGGAATTTGAAGTGCCTATAACTGGACAGTATTTTTGCCGAAAATTCTCTGTCTCTTACACATTTGACGTTCGCGATAGATGACAGTAGCGAGATAAAAGACCTTAAACATTATGTTATGCCAGGCAATCCGGTGTCTTCAAAGTTCAACCTCGTCCCACACCCCTGATCGTGAACTTCACTCATTCACTGCTCTACTGTGGTTCATATGCATGAGGCCCCCGACTGTGAGGCGGCTGTCTGACACTCGCTCACTTTACGCGATATTGTCGATTATCTTATCTGTTTCATGTGACTTGACATTTGGTCAATACACTGTCCAGTGCGCTGAAAGGCTGTTCTGACAGTCCTACACCCCAGTAACCGCGATTATAACGCACTACGGTAGTAGAGCAGGTTTCGCTTGAACACAAGTGATAGCAGGTAGTGATGACGTCAAGATCGTGGTGAAACTATTTCGTTTCTTTATTGCTGATTTTTAGGGGTTGGCTAATACAGGGACATACGACTGGACAAATTTGATGTCGCAGTTATACTGTCGACTTCTCTATAGACGGGCTTATATTCTGTAATATACAGTAAATATTCCTTGGTTAAGCTAAAAATGTTCGTTGATTTCACACTACTTGTCTCTGTCTCGGTAGCCGCTTCTACAACATGATTTTGCTCCCAAGTATTCGTTTCGAATGTTGACTGTGATTCAGAGCTGGCAGGGAACGAGTTCAGTTGATGCGAAATCGCATACAAAGTGGCATACCCAACAGTGCTTTTCCTATTTATTGGTTGTTCATAGACTACTGTTAACTAGTGTGGCGTTGGTTTTCTCGCCTAACTGAACTACTTATTGTGTGCCTTTCATCACTGGTTAGGCTCATATCTTCAGTGAGCAGCAGCAGTGGTAGGATCAATAATAATGTTGATGGTAGCAGTGATGGCAGTAGTAATATTTGTATTAAGGATGCTGGTTTGCTCGCCATGCTGGTAAATTCATTTGCAGACATTTTCAGTACGTAGTCATGATGGTGGCGTCTCTACTAGTAGCAGGTAGTAAAAGCCGGATTTTTTCTAAATCGCAGCCTCCTACTATCAAGGTCATTCTCACTACTGCGACAACTAGAGCCACCACTACGGCTATGCACTGAAGATGTTACCTCGACTAGTGACGAAACATCTGTAGACGAATTGCTCAGCTCATCGGGTTAGTCAACATGTCGACACCCAACTTGAGCTACCAATAATTCGACGTATTACTGATATTTCCAGTGATAGCAGTAGCGGCAGCATTTGAACTTGAAGTAGGAATATTGGTAATAATGATGACAATATTATTTATATTGGTATTAGCAGCAGTCGTTCTGGTAGTAGCCGTATTAGCTGTGCTAGTGGTAGTATTATTATTATTAGTAGTAGTAGTGGCACTAGCAGTTATCGTAGCAGTAGTCTCGTTAATGGGAACTGTGTTTTTTAACTTTTATTCCTCAATTTTCTCTGTGTCGGTTAGAGCTGTCCCATTAATGAGCGCTTTTTCCCGGTGGTATGCAACTGCATGTCACCAGCTTCACGCATTCTTGACTTGACAGTATCCTCAAATATCTATCCTCGTTAAATGGCATCATAGCCTAATGTGGCTGGTTAGTGTATAATTGTCATTATGGATTGAGAAGTGCGGGTCCATCAGTCATAACAGAGCAAGCTTCATTTGGCGTCGTAGAGAACAGTATGCCTTAATCCCAATTGTTGGCTGGATTTTACCTCAGTTCAGTGTGTCGCCGACGTTAACCAACTCTACTGCTGCTATTGACTCTGGTTTCACATTTCTGCTGCTCTATCTACCATTGTCCTGTTCAGTGTTGTTTGTTCCGGAATTCATCACGCTGCAGCTAATTACCTTATTTTACGCTGCGTTTACTACTCCTCTGTTATTGTATTGCTATAGACGAGACTCAATAGTAAATAGCTTCAGTCAGCCGTGATACTTCTCAGAGAGAGATCCATCCTTTTCTTGAGTGTCTGTTCGTTTTCCTTCGAGGTCCAACCAAATCGTTTGCTTGACCGGTAGTTCGGTAAGCCAACTGCTGCAGCACGAAGCGAGCACTGTCCATGTCTTACTCTAGGAGTGCGCGCTTCGCGACGTTTCTGTTTTCCGCTTACCTCACAGCCTGAACAGCTACGAATACCGGTGCATAGTTAACTAACGTCGTTTATTTCTACTCTAGCTTGCATACAACTGATCGAGCCCATGTGCAATTCACGAGGAAACTAGTGTTGATTCTACTGGTCAATATTGACCACGATTGACCCCAGTGCTATACATGTCTGAATTTACGCTTCTGTCACGAAGCAACTACTATTGACCTTAGTGATTTGATTTTATAAGCTCCGCCATGGCCACGATCTACAACTTTGAAAATTCTCAAATCCTGACCTAGCGATCGAACTGATCGTAGCTTGCATTGACCAGCTTTGCGGTTCCAATAGTGCTTACGTGTGATGATCTGAAAACTTCATCCAATCAACTCTTATGTTGACACATTTCTCCAGGATCCTTGCCGGCTCTTGCAGATGATGTCCTGGCATCGTATCATAAATAATCATCCGATAGTCTTATGCTTCCCGTACCGAATCTTGACCAATTCAAGTACATTCAAGCGAACGTGCCTCAACGACATAAACCGTCTTGACTATCACCACCTTGAGTTCAACATATTTACCTGCACTGGATGAGTCCGGATTACGGATACTCTGTTGGTTTGTTCGTCGCTTGAGGCCGTCAGCTCCATAATTACGTTGCTTTAAATGCATGCTTGACCCATATGGGTCGCGATCCCAAACGAACTCTTTTTACTTGTGTAGGCTCACCTTTACCAAAGTTCCCATATCGTTCCCTTTTAGTAAACTTCCTTCTTTTTCAGGCGTTTTTCCTCAACCCAAGCGGTGACCAGGTCTTCACCTGTTTCCGAGACGGGTCGATGTACTTGTGGGAAACCTCCGATCTGGGATGCTCAAATCGTCTGGAGAAAGCACCCAGCACTTCGTCCTATCTTGTTTTCGCACAAACGAGGCAAGTGTTCTTTTTATCCTTCTCCTTTTGTCTATAATTTCGATCGTTCTGTCAACTTTTGGTGTCCACCGGGTCCCTTGTTTTAAGCTTTTCTACTAAAGTCCCTTATGCCCACGATGCCAGTGTTTTGCCCGTGAACATTGAGACGATCCAGGTAGCACCACTAGAGTATTCAGCATTTAATTAGTTATGTAACTGAATTTTTAAAGACAAACCTATCAATGTTTTGCATATTGTTCCTCTGTCATCTAAGTGGGATTGACATTTTCCTCTTTTGTATGATATTTCTTTTACGGCGGGGTATAGACACGTATGCGGAGGGTATTCACTGCGTTGTGTTGAGTCTTGGCCGGATTTCCTTCCATATCGCGTTCTGTACTAACCACATGTCACCATCTGTACATTCTCTGTTCTGGCTTTCAAATACACTTCCCTCGGTGAATCTGATTCGTTTCATACTATTCTGGGCCCATACCACCACCACCATTCACAATTGGTCGTCGTCCCGCTACGAGCACTTGCAATAGGTGCACTAGAACCGGGTAAAACAGGTGGCATATCGCACTGGAACTACATCTTGTCACAATTTACCTGTTACTGTTTCAACAACTTCACAATTCAATACGGTAACTATAATTTACACGTCTACATAATCCAGATCAGCCAGTGTTCCATGCTGCAGCTGGATACAAGAGGAGAAATAAGAAAACACTGGCAAACATCACTTGTTGTCGCAAAGATGCTTGAGAACTAGATCCTGATGTACCCTCCGGTGTTTGCGCATCGCTCACGTTAAGGCCTCACATATTTGATGAGAGCATCTTTCCGAACTCGCTTTTGAACTCTATAAACGCCACTGCACTTGACCTGCATTACGTGTAACGTTGCTCTAACGCTTTTCACAGGGTGAAAATTTGGCTTGCCTGATCTTCCTGTCCCATAACCAAGCACTTGGTAATAACTGAAGCTGCTACATTTTCTGCTATCGCAACCTAGTTGATATCCCTGCTATGCATGGGTTTCATGACTACGCCATTTGCATATTGCAGCTTTGATTGATTCGCCTCAGTTGTTTGGAGCGGTTCATTCCTTGCATCTCTTTTGTAACTGGCCGTTCGATTTTGCTTAAGGCCTCAATTTCATCGTTGCACGGATAGTGCACTTGAGAGTCCTGGGTTACAGCTGTACAAGAATGCACTTCTCGTTTCGCATCCATAGTTTAACTTGCACAAAGGTGTCCAGAAGCAGGAGGCCTAATGAATTGCTGCTGGAGATCCTCCGCCTAACGTGCCAGATTACGTTCCTTGTTGTGGATTGGAGCACCGGTGATGTCTATGATTATCTTACTGACGGTTGATACCCTGAGATTAATAGCACTGTTAAGTTAAAAGAGTCCCCGGAATTTACCAAACATTTTCGGCTCCTCCATGTTCTGATCCCCTCGAGTCTGCTTGGTTCCTTTTTCTTCTCGCACTCTCCGTTTCATTTCGCTCTCGACAACCAACGTCGTCGCACCGTGGTCGTTGCCGACACGCATTCGCCTGCCGGTTTCCAACGGATTCACCGAGGTTGTCCAAAATGTTTCGGAATACCGGTAGCTCGGGTCGGTGCTTCATTTATTCACCGAGATTTCTGCTATTTAGTGTCCAGCGCATTGTTCATCGATATTACTGTAGGCGAAAGCTCCCGGGCCATGCATGGAAACGGAGTTTCTCTTAAAAGACTAACAGCGTCTATTCTCGATGTTACACGAGGCACACCAAAGAAGGCATGATCAGTTTTGTACATATTTACCTGATGTGAGTTACCGAAAAGAGATCTCTTTGCAACCACCATTTTTACATATCTGTGGACATTGTCTACGATTAGTAATACTCTGTTTCTGGACAGTCACCAAGCATTCCGCCGAGTACCTCAGAACCGGGCTCCGGGACCCATTACTAGGTTGGCTGTCGTCATACCTGAGTGGTCGTCACCAGGTAGTCACTTTAGGTGACTGTCGCTCTTCTCCACACCCCATCATCAGTGGGGTCATCCAAGGGAGCGTGCTCGGTCCTTCACTGTTTTTGCTCTACATCGAAGACATCACCACATATGTAAAACATGATCGGTCATTTATATTTGCTGACGATACCAAGATCGTCTATAAGCTTTAGCGTGACGCGCTTCACGGAACGCTAATGCTCATTCAAGATGACTTACATTTCCTTGAGTCATGGTGCCACACGTGAGGGATGGATGTCTCGGCTAAGAAATCAAACATCATGTCTTACGGCTGTTCCATCCCCGAAGGATCTTTCACATTAAACATGTCCCTACACAGCTGTCCATGCGTGATCTCGAAAGTAGTTACTCATTGACCTTCAATTTCTCCGAACCGATCCACTATCAAGTAGCACGTGCCAGACAATCTGTGTTCAATATATCCAACGAAATCCATACAACCTATGCTAGATTTGAGCTCTTTAAGCTAGTCACTCGCCCCATCCCCGAATACTGTAGCATAATACACGGCAATATACGAAAGAGTGGTAGAATTACTGTGGAAAACCTTCATAGGTCCTTTACTAAACATCTGTTGGTAAGTACTCTGTCATGAATAATCGAGAGCGTTGCAACGAACTTCAACTCGATCCGCTTTGGATTCGACGACTGAAGCACAACTTGTTGCTGCTTTTCGACATGCTACACGAAAAGACCTATTCCGACCTACATGCACTCGAACTACAACATAGCTCAACTCGAGAGCTCCGCAATTAAGATTTTACACTGAATAGACCAGAGACCAGACGGAGCATTCACTCTACTTTCTTCCTGGTCAGATATAGCTATCTGTGGAATAAACTACCAATCACACACAGGTCATGTGATACTCTGGCAACATTTAGGAGAAAACTCTTCAGTTACTTTGATCTAAATACCATAATCACTGTATTCAAATGGTCAGAATCCCTCGATCAGCTATTCCAAGAGGAGCCCAAAAACATACAAACACCAACGTTTTTAAAACTAGGCTTTCAAGTCAACCATCTACCAACATGGAACTACATGAAACGCATACCCCAATATTTCACCTATGCATATCATCCATGCGAGAGCATGGATAATTTTGTACTAATTTATCTATGCCGCTACGAACAGTTTCTCGCATCATGAGAAATATACGTATTATTATTATTATTATTATTATTATTATTATTATTAAGATGAGTGTGTCTAGGTCGAAAACCATTGGATTCTAGTTACGGGACCCAACACACGTGCAAACCAGGGGTATCCAACATGCGTGTTAATAAATAAATAAATAAACATTTATTCTCGGCTATGCGAGGCATGCCCGCGAGGGCATAATCAACTAAGTTCACTTATACAGACATGTCATGTCAATTGTAACAGTGACAATCGGAGAGTATTTAGACGTTCTTTCCATTCTCACCACATGCAAAAGCCACGTTTGACTGCATATTTCTCTGTGCGTTGCGGGTAAAGCACTTTACGAGTGGAATTATCTTCGTGAATACGGTTTTTCTAGCCTCCGTGACCACCGGCGCAGCCATGCGGTATCGCAGCTCTTCCACCACCGGAATTACCGGTAATATCTATATTGTTACTGAACGCTTTGCCTTCGTAGTGTCTCGAATGTTTTCATACCTTTTTGGATTTCCGGAGCTAGTCTGTACTGAACGGTGAGGACAATTGCGTTTTAGGTTTTTGCTTTTAAATTCCACTTCCATCAGATTTGGACTACTGAAACCATTCCATCCGACTGGAATTTAGCGGATGGTGTACCTGTTTACAAAAGAGGAGACCGTACCCTTTGCTCCAACTATCATGGCATCAGTCACATTTGTGTCGCATTCAAACTGCTCGCTGCCCTACTCTTGCGAAGGCTCAGTTGCGTACAGGAACAGCACCTGCGTGAACAACAAGTTGAATTTCGCCCGCGTCGCAGTTGCGTCGATCACATCTTTGCTTTCCGCCAGTTACTTGAACATCGCCATACGTTCAGTTGACCAACTATAGTCATATTCTTGGGCATTCGATCCGCTTTTGACTCTGACAGCGTGACTCTTTGGGACTGTTTACTGCATAAGGGAGTACCTGAGAAGTACATCGACATTCTCCATACTATTTAGCAACAAACTTCGGGCCGCGTGCGAGCATACGGAGAAATTTCGCCCCTCTCAGTATCACTAACGGTGTTAGACAGGGTTGCCCAGCCTCTCCATTCTTGTCCAACTTCGCCATCGACGAGATCCTGGATACTGCCGTGGATAACTCTGAGTCCTGTGGTGTTGAACTGCTCCCTGGTGACCGACTTCACTACTTAGAATACGCCGATGACATCGCTGTGATTTGCGAGTCCTCCCAAGCCGCCCAGCATATGCTGCTTAGACTGGAGATGTCCGCCGCCCAATTTGGCTTGAGCTTTGCCCCTTCCAAATGTAAGGTCCTATCACAGAACTGGCCAAGCGCATGTCCTTCTCTCACCCTTTCGGGGCATCCGTTGGAGGTGGTCGACAAATACATTTATCCTGGGAGTTGTCTTAGTAATGGCGTTTTGACAGATGAGATCTCCCTGCGTGTCTCGAAGGCTAGAGTCGCTTTCGCTAACCTTCGTCACCTGTGGCTTCGTCGTGATCTCAGCCTTGCTCTCAAGGGACGAGTCTACAATGCTACGGTACGAGCGATTCTGCTGTACGGCTGTGAGACTTGGCCCGTTCGCAAATCGATGTTCAGTGGCTATCAGTCTTCGATCACCGCTGCCTGCGAAGCTTTGCTGGTGCTCGATGGCAGCACCACATCATTAATGAGGAAATCCGTCGGCGAGTCTTCAGATCTAACGAACTCCGCCGATCGATTGATAGCATCATCTCACTGCGAAGGCTTTGCTGGCTTGGCCATGTGCTTCGCATACCTACCCAGCGGCTACCACGACGAGCCCTATTCGCAACCACAGGTGTGGCTTGGAAGCGACGAAAAGGAGGACAATGTAAAACTTGAATCGAATGTATTAAGGCGCAAACGATGAAGCTGGCTGTTGTCGGGCGTTCACGACTCCCGGGTTGGGGACCAAAGGACCCCAAGAACACCTGGTTGCAAACGCTAGAGGATATGGCCAAGAACCGTACGCAATGGCGCACTTACTGTGGGACTGTTCTACCCTCACAGTTGTCTTCTCTTTCATGCTATCTATCTGCTTCCACTTTATTTGGCTTGTTTTGCCTACCTGAATAATCTTCTATTAACTTGCACACGTTGTTTTCGCTAATTTCGCTTATCTTCATTAACTTTATTGCGTTTGTAGCATCTTTCGAGTGGCTTGTGGACATTTTGTTATTGTCGCTTATTCGTTGATAACCAACTTACTACATATGCTAATTTAGGGAATAGTTATGTCTGCATAGCCGTATACTTTAAGAAATATACTTTTTTGATGTTATTTCAAGTAATTGGCTGTTGCTTGATATCCCTGCTGTGGCTGCGCTTGATGTGCATGTGGACAAGGTGCCTACCTGTCTATTACCCACTACCTCGTCCATACTGGCTCCAGGAGACAGTTGGTCGTTGCTGGAGGGGACGGGGTGCACGGTCCTTGTGGCCGTGCTAGGCTCGAAGTGTGGTTCCGTGCGCTCAGTGTGGAGCGGACCACTGTCCAACCACTGCCTTGTGTGTGCTTGATTCCTAAAATACAACGTGCTTTTACAAATAGAAATTGGGTGTTGCCCGCCCAAAAACACTGCACTACTATGACGCGTTTCGATGTTATTACATCACATCAGATAGAGTTAGCAGGCATCGAGCCCGGGACCATCGGGATGTTAGTTGTGACCGCTACCCCAAAGCCTGTGAAGGAGTGTGGGCCGGCTCTGTTGATGAAAAGTGGCTCCTATCCACATGCCTCCCGGTGTTATTCCTTCGGGTTTACACTGGAGATGGGGTGTATGGTTAGAGCTGTGGGTGGTGCAGCGCAAGCCACTCATGGCCCCTCTGTAAGCGCAGGCGTCCTGTGGTGTCCCTGTGACTGGCCACATTGACAGGCAAATCCGAAACCGGATGCCACCACACACACACCCACACACACATATATATATATATATATTTATATATATATATATATATATATATATATATAAACTTTCACCAAGATCACCGGCCGAATTCCGACCTTTCTGTTAGATACGGTTATATAGTGCTTGATGGCTGGACACTGTGCACGTATCCAGAAGTACTCAGTTCATGCATAACAGTGTGACATCGAGTTTCCACCGGAATCTAAATTTCCCACCTCTTTGGAAGTGCAAATGTCCCTTTGATTGGGCGGCTTCTCACCTGCACCAACTAATCGACCACTTTTTAAGCAACACTTTTTGCTTATTCCGATGAAAGTAGGTTAAAACTTGTGATCTGTCATTGCGCAGCCGGTATGCATGCGCTTGTTTTGGAACGAGTACTGGTTTAACACCTATTTGTAGCTTATGTTGTTACTATCTACTGGTCCGTTGTCATATGTTAGACAGGCTACCCTCCCAAAACGCCAGTGATGACTGCATACTTGCAATAGGCCTTCTCCATTTCCGTCAAGTTAGACTCGAGTCCAAGCATGGTACTTATAAGTTTGTAGCACCAGACTACCTACATGCTGGGTCATTTTGAAGCACCCGTTGACTGAATGAATTACGACACTTAATCTCAATCTGGATTGCGATTCCCTTTGAAGTGAATCTCCGCTAATTCGATTTCTGGGGCTCTATCTGGAGCAGACAAAGTTAGGGTTTTGCGAACGGGCTGTACCTTACATTTGTCTTACTGCCTATTTACACACTCTTAGCTTTTGGAAACAGTTGTGTTCAAAAGAGAAAATCCGCTAGACGGACATCTTAGACGACTCCTGGAAGTCAATCTCGAGGTATTGTGGTCTTTGCCGCATAGCGTTTGTTTGGTGGCTACTAGGGAACAGCATCTAACTTTGTTTCCGTTGTCTACATAGACTGCTGTTGTTAGATAAACTGAATACTGCGTACGAAATTATGATCCATAAACTTAGAAGCTCAGAGCTACAGCCATTCCGATTTGGCCCGCGATTGTTGTTTCTGTTCCTTGTTGATGATACGGTCATCCGCCATTGTGCTGAGGTTGACTCTGGAGCGCATGCATCACGCAGTACCAAAGTGCATGTTAGTACTAACTTTTACTAGCGCTTTGAATTGTCACCGTAACACGGACACATCCGCCTGGTCTGTCTCTAGGATTGACTGATGGGTCCTGACCGCTTTTGATCGAAGGATTCTACTCACTTAATACTATTAGCGTCTACAATGCATTGTTTACTCACCCCAACCTATTTGCTTCCAGTAAAATGACTAAGTTGAAGTGGTTTTCGTTCTTTTCATGTGACCCACTGCCATTTACCTACTAAGCACTATCCAGAAGCAAACGCAGCTCTAATATATTGATAGTATGTCCTTGAGGTTCACGCACCCTCCGAATGAATGACTTCCATCTCCTTTGCTGTGGATCTGGACACTGCGATTGTCAGTCTTTTATCCTTTTATGAGCTGATCTGGCCTAACGATGTAGCACGTTTGCAACCGCAGTGAGCTGAAGCCTAATCTCGTAATGTACATGGCCAAACGGACACTATCTCGCGCTAAACTTTGAGACGAACTTCCACCAGCGTTTTCATTCGCTTAATGAACCCCTTAGTTCATACTTTCACCACAGCAGATTACGCAACGCTGGTGCATCTGTGAATTTAGCAGTAACCTACAAGATTACGAAGGATGTTCAAAAAGAAGCCGAACTTTTGCTATAACTTCTTGGTTGCTCATCCCACAACATTCTAAACACTTTCTCCCTCATAGTAGTCCCATCTACTAGCAATACGCTGTTCTAAACGGTGTTTCTATTTCTGGGAAACCCCTGGAACTCACTTTTTGGGATGGCGCGCAAGTCTTTTGTCACATTGTCCTGAATCTTCTCTATGGTTTGGAAACGACGTTCTATCAACTTGGTTTTAAGTTAAGAAACAGGAAAAAGTCTGCAGGGGCTAAGTCCTGAGAATACGGTGGATGGGACACAATGGGAGTGTAAAGTTTTGCTAGATAGCTACGGACAAGGATCCGTTCGTGAGTCGGCGCATTGTCATGATTCCATATCCAAGTCTGGTTCTTCCACAGTTCAGGCATCTTTCTGCGCACTGCATTCCTTTATGCGCTAGGATTTTATGGCATGATCCTATGCTGATACCCACTTCGTCAGCGACTTCTCGAATAGATAAACTACTATTTGCACGGATCACAACACGAACCCTCACGACATGGTCATCGTCTGTTGTTGTGAAGGTCGTCCAGGCTTGTGATCGTCACCGACTGACATATTGCCTTGTTCAAAACACTTAAATAACTTATAGCACTGCGTGGGACTCACACAGTCCTCCCCGTATGCTCGACTAAGTAATTAGGATGTCTCCGTAAAAGTTTTGCCAAGTTGATAGCAGAAATTCACACACACACACACACACACGTACTTCTTTAAGCTTTTCCATTGTCTCTTGGCACTAATCCAATGAACAGCTTGTGCACGCGCTGATTTCAGCAGCTGTAGCTCGCTAATTAACAATCAGAGCGAAATGCAACAACTGTCAGTTTGTTGGCTAAAGAAGCCTCCACATGCGCTCAGTAGCCGCAGCGCGCTCCCTCTGCCGGTTGTCGCGATATTTCAAAAGTTCGGTTTCTTTTTGTACATCTCATATTCTCCAGGCCAACTTCTTCCTTCGGTAAAGTTACTTTTGCTACAGAGCGCGATCATAGCTTCGAGTGCATAAACCGGGCAGACCAGTTGTCACCCTATACGTTGAATGAAGTCAATGTCACACGAACTTTATCTCGTGGTCCCCTGAACCATCTCCTTTATGGAAGCCTCTTTTCACCTGTTACTCGCTTTTGGTTGGCTTTAGTTCCGCAGCCTAGGCCGAGATGAGCTCGTCCGCCTCAACTCGTTTTCCTTTATTCTTTTCCCAGCCTCGGTAGCTATATGTTTGCAGCGGGGCGTTCCTCATCCATACATTTGTGGCACTTGAACCGGCAAACCTCCGTTCAGGTGGCGGTGTCAGTTGCAAACGATCAAAACCGTCCTTTCGTCTTGCAAGAAGTGATCCAGTTGTCATGGCGAATCAGCAATATAAGGCGGCTTGCGTGGATTGGGGAATCCTCTTTGGGTACTTTTCTCCTCCCAGGAGAGAACGAAACTGACGAGGTGAGGCCACACACTTGTGTAAAGATTTTTGGTTCATTATGTCTCTGTTGATTTCAGGTTGGTGGTATCTATTGTATGCTTTGCTGATATACCTGCCACTATTCCAGATCACATATAGCCTCATTCTTGCTGATTTCCTGATTATGGAGGATTATTGCATGCTTGATCTGACTGGTTTCTTGTGTCTTCCACCTGGCCATTCTAGGTAACCCTTTCCAAATACCGTAGCTATATTGTCAGTCAATGTTCCGCTACAAAAGGAGTTCAACTCGCTTAGCTTGCAGAGTGGGTATTACGGGTTGTGCCTACAGTGGGATCATCATCATCGTCATTACACGTTGAATGATGATGAGCAACACACTTTAATGTTCCGCAATACCAATACAATGAATTTCTCTTCAAACAGTTTCCTGATGCTCTGGCCACCGCAGAGGATAATCAACGGTGCCCTATATGCTACATCGAGCAGGGTGGATAGGGGTTTGGATGCTACTGCTCAAGCCCCCCGGCTTCTCATTTCCCCTCTTACGCTTTTTCACTCTTGCCGTCCAGTTCCAACTTTACTTACATCCCCCAGCTTTCAACTCCCCGATTCTTGGCCCTCCGCCAACATGCTTCGCTGCGCATTTATCTTCTAATTTCAACTCACATGCTAACGCGGAGCGTCACTCCTCTCCTGTCGACAAGGCCATGTCCAACCAAGCGGTCTATTCCAGTTCATCGGATTCCATTTGGAGCCCTCAGTCATTCTTCAGATTGGCATGTCTCAATGTACGCACATTGGTACAGATCGGTCAATAGACAGCATTTGCCCGAACATTGGAGACCCTCTCAATCGATATCTGCTGCTTATCTGAGACCCGCCTGCAAGACTCGAGCTCTGCGATCCCCTTCAGGTGACGCAAACAGTATTTTCTCATTGCGCCTATCCGGTGACAATACAGCTTCGAGCACCGCCCAAGCTGGTGTTGGCATTGCCGTGAGTCCCCGGGCTGAAGCCGCTCTGGTTGATTGGATTTCAATCAGTAGCGGGATGTGTGCGGTCCGATTGGCTGGCTCGTTAAAAGCTTCGAAGTCGCGCGCGACTAACATGTGTCTATTAATCATCGCTGCCTACGCGCCAACAAAATGTAGCGATGATTCGGTAAAGAACGACTTCTACCGCCAACTGACCCAGCTCCTTCGCCACAGAAGAAACGCCGACACTGTTGTGCTGGCAGGGGATCTGAACGCGCAAGTTGGAAAGTTGTCCACAGATGAGCTGTATCTGGGCGGTCAGCACGGTGTAAGCTCCCGTAATGATAACGGTGGGCGGTTACTTCATTTGTGTGAAGTTGCTCGCTTATTTCTTGCGAGCACTAACTTCCGACACAGCACTTGCCGGAGGGTGACTTGGCGCACACCAGCCTTGGACGCAAATCGATCACATTGCAATCAGTTACCCCTGGAGAGGCTGCATCCAGAACTGTCGCTCGAATTGGAGCATATGTGTGGACACCGATCATGCACTTGTACGTGCTGACCTGCGGATACGTTTTGGCGGACGTCCACGACGACGCTGTGAGCGTATTGACACCAGTCAACTGACAAAGCCAGCTGTTCTGAATGCGTTGAGTAAGCGTTCACTGGAGACAATTGAAGGTTATTGGTCACATGTACACCAGACTACAAGCAGCAGGCAAATCCTCATGTGGTATGTCTAATAACCAACCTGGATACTGGGTCTCTTCACAGTCTCTGGAGCTTATCGAAGCTCGCCGACACATGCCGACTGGAATCGAACACAATGAAACTCGCAAAGAACTCTGGTCAAGACTCCGTGCCAGCCTGAAGAGAGACCGCGAATCATGGTGGTCTCATCGTGCGTCAGAGATGGAAGTGGCCAGTGCCGTTGGCAACCATCGTAAGTTATTCCGTCTGATACGGGAAACGGGCAGCAGGAGACCTGGTGTTAGTGAAACAATTTGTGACGAGAGTGGACAGCCTATCCACAATTTGTCAAAACGTTTGGAGTGTTGGGCTGAGCATTTTGAAAAGCAATTTAATCGGCTAGAATTGTTGGATTCTCCGCGGACTAGTGATCGCCCTGCTCCGTGGGTGGTTGTCCCTTTGGATCCACCCTCTCGCTCAGAAGTCGAACGTGAGATCGGACTGTTAAAGTTGAACAAAGCTGCGGTACCAGATGATCTTCATCTAGCCCTCTTCAAGTTCGGTGTTGTGCCCAAGTGGAATGCATGCAGTGGGCTGCATACCTTCGCTGAGTCACCTTAGGTGGCTCGTTCATGTGAGCCCTATGGACTCGACGCGGATGCCGAAACAGCTACTTTATGGTCAGCTGAGTGCAGTGCAGCGGCACGTAGGAAAACCGAAGTCACCTTACCAGGACATGATCAAAGTGACCTTATCACTTTCTAATGTTGATTTCCGGTGTTTGGGATCCAAGGCGCTCCATCGGCGTACATGGCGCGATCTGAGCACGATAGTCCTACGGTTGTGAAAGCTGACCCCTTAGATCAACAGACATAAAGAGGCTAGTTACGTTCGACCATCGGTGCCTTCGTAATTTAGCTCACATCTGGTGGGAACACCGTGTGAGCAACAATTGTGTTCGACGCCTTGTTTACGGCACAGAGAAAGGAAATGAACTGCTAAGCACCGTTATTTCACGCACCAGGCTCCGATGGCTCGGCCATGTGTTATGTATGCCAGCCCACCGACTCCCGCGACGTGCGTTGTCTGCGCGCCTCGGGTGTGGATGGAAGAAGAGGAGAGGTGGCTAAGCGATGACTTGGTCGAGAGGAATGAATGCCCTCACTTCGGAGGTGGCCTCGGTTGGAGAATTTCGGCTCCCTGGTTGAGGTCCAAAACACGATGAACACGTTTGGCTAGATACACTTGCTGACATGGCTAGGAGCGGACCTCAGTGGCGTTCGTGCTGTGAGTTTCCTTGTCCCTCCCCATCCCTTTTAGCCTCCTCCTCTAACCACAATCTCATTTCGTAGCGTAATATAATTCTACATAATAATTTTTCTTGTTACATAGTAGCCGGCTGGTGGCTTACCGCGACGATGCCTATCCGTTGCTGGTAGCTCTGCTGGCATGTAACTGTTGTATTTATTTTCCTTTTCCTTTATGTATTGCGGCAGAGTAGCTGAGGTGTTTCCTACCTCTAGCTAATGTGTGTAGTGTGTGTGTGGTGGTTGCCGAGGTTCGAAAGAATGCCCTCTTGCATGCATAGAAGAAGCAAGAGGTGTGGAAGCGACGGCTGTTTCTCTGGTCATACTCCGTCTACGTGGAGTCTATGATGCTGTAGCACATGCGGTCGCGACTGCCTGAGTCAGGCAGTCGTAGTGATCCACAAGCGAGGCCATTCGGGAGCGGCATCGAAACGGCGCGGAGTCCTGCAGAGAACGTAGGCAGAACCAGCGCAGCGTTTGTAGGTTCGCTGCATTCGATTTACTTACTGCGTACTTGCGTGCTATTTTTTATTTCCACTAATCGGTTTACTTTATTTTGTTAATGCTTACTTTGTTAAATCATTGTGATGTCCGTCTGAGTATGCTTCTTTTTGTTTACACACGCCGCCTAAGCAGACTATTTAAATTCGTTAAATTTTTCACGTTTGCAGCATTTTTTGAAGATATCTTTTTCTGAGATCCTGAAATTATCGCGGATTTGTTCGTAAACACTTTATTTCATATGCTCATTTAAAGAGGAGTTAATTCGTTTTATCCTTGTGCTTTATTCGATAACTATTTTTTTGTCATTTCAAGTGATTGGCTGTTTCTTGATATCTCCAATGTGACTGCGCTGGATGTGCATGTTGACATGGTTTCTACTTGCCAAACACCCTCCACATCGATTACTGGTTTCAGTAGACTGTGCATCGTTGCTGGGTCGCCGGGTGCACGGTCCCCCTTTCCGTTCTAGGCTCAAGGATTGGTTCCATTCAGTGTGGAGTGGACTACGACCCAGCCATCATCTTGTGTACGTTTGGTACACATGCTTCCCTACCTAGATTAGCAGCGATGCTGCTGCTGTGCATGTTGAAGGAGTGTGGACTGGCTTCGTTGATGTAACGTGACTCATTCACATGCCTCCTGGTCTTATTCCTTTGGGTTTTCACTGGATTTAGGGTTTGTGGATGGAGCTGTGGGTAGTGCAGCGTAAGCCACCTATGGTCCCCGTGGAGGCCACAGTGACAGGCAAACCGTGATCCGGACGCCACCAACAACGTATGATTGAGGGTACACGTGTACGTAGTAAGGCGGGTTTATCCTTGGATTTGTTGATATGTTGCTATATTTATGATTGTGATCGACCGGACTGTCAGTGTTAGAAGGGATCATTGGAAACCTTCGAGGTGAATGACTGGCGTCTGCGGAGCGGGTACAAACATTTATACAGGCAAGGAGCAGTGACTTTATTTCGTGGCGGGTGATATCCACCAAATCGCCGTGTTGTTCAGCAGACAGCTGTAGCTTTTATATGGAAAACGCTTGCCGGGCGCAATCCGCCACGTCCTGCAACACTGCTGCTGACCTATTCGCTGCAACGGGATTTGCCAGAACTACCGTGCTGGCAACACTAAGGGTTGTTCAGCCGACACCCACCGAGGGTCCTCGCAGAAGACGGTCACTGCCGATTTTGGGAGCAGCTTTGTACTTTAATTTGTAAAAATAGGAAACTAACACGTTTAAATCTAGTGGGCAGTGTTCGGCTGGTTTGACCATTTAGCCTTCCATCATATGTTTGATATATACATGTGACCTAGAAACCGTAGCAATAGTCCGATTTCTGCGTACTAACAAACTAAAATCCCAAGGTCGTTCATCGGACGCTGTCGACATCTACGGGGTAACCACATATTGTCGTAGCAGGTCCCAAAGAAGCATTTACTTAGAATTTACCAATATGGACCGTGGAGGTTGCAAGCTGTACTTGATCACGCGGCATGGGCGGTGGAAATGTTCTAAATATGACAATGAGAAGACTGGTAT